CTTCAGCAACCGATGGGACATCAGTTGCTGTTGTTTCTGCTTCGGCGTCCGCACAGAGACGTGCAGACGCGCCCTGGGCGGCCTTGCTCGCGCATCGCATGGGCTTGTTAACCATGCGATGAAATGTTGGAAAGTGGACGCGGACCAACAAGTGCAAACCCTGTCCCAAATGATTTGAGACGAGTATCCATTTAGTCAATCAGTCACTAAAGTGACTGATGGTTAAGGGGGGGTGTAACGGGGTGAATCGTTACATAACAATTTATAAGAAATTGTTTACAGAATATAACTATAAGAGTTATATTCTCAGAATATTGTCATGAGGACAAACATTCTGTAGCACTTACAAGTAGTTCCTAATTGGTTGATATAGGCCATTGTATCAACCAACGAAGACGCGCAACGACAGACGCACGCAATGAGTGGTGAGCAGATAACTGATTTACACATTTGTATTTATACATAGTTAGATGAAGATAAATAGTGATTTATTGCAGACATTAACTATTATAAATACAGTTCTACTTTTTACTCTAACCAAGTACTCGCTTCTTCTTACCGTCTTCCTCTGCACGTACGAGTGTACGTGAAGTTACGAGGCACCGCCTTATTCTGTCATCAGAATAAGTAGCTTGTACTGTCACCAGTACAAGCTTCAGGGTGCCCCGTTACACCCTCGTCCAGTGTCTCGCAACACTGGGCGTAGTGACCGTCCACCCATGAGAAAGGGGCAGGGACGCTGGTCCGCTGTTGGTGCAAAGACGCAACAACGGGATGGACCGTCAAAAAACGGACAGGATCAGTAGGTGCGGAGCACCCTACTGGTCCAGCAACGTCAAGAGAATTTGTAGGCCTCTTGATGAAGGTTGCTCCCAACACACAATTGTTGTGTGTTGCTACTCTAGGTAATGAGATCTCACTCATTACCTTGAAACTCGAAGTGACGAATAAGTTGTCCCTTCGAGCTCTAGTCGATTGTGGGGCGCCCAGCAATTTTGTGCGACGCCAATCGCTAGAAGATGGTCATTTTAAGTTCAGTGAATGTGACACACCTCCCACGAGGATGAAGGTACGTCTTGCGACAGGCGCATCCGTAGCCGTCATGAAGCGTATAGTGAAGATCCACTATACGCTGGAAGATACCCAATATGATGATGACTTTATCGTATTGGATTTGGATGACAAATTTGATGTCATCCTTGGAATACCGTGGCTCAGAAGGTACGAACCACGGGTAAACTGGCAACATCGGACAGTAACGATGCCTGCCGCTTGTTCATCAGATGGCCATCTGATGAACGTTTTGGGAGCGTCCACAAGCGTGTGGATGTACTACGAGTGAGTGCGATGGCCTCACTTGTGGCACGGTCGTTAGTACGACTGCACAAAACCTTAGTGTACCAAACGATTACACTTCGGAGCAAAGTTCCGGCGGCTGTGAGGAAACACAGGCTGCGCCGAAGGTCCACCACTCGAATAAGTCGGGTGGACTGGGACAAAGATGTATCCCTAGAGGGGAACATCTAGAAGAGAAACAATCGATCGCTCAGGTTAAGCGAAACGATAATCCTAGATCGACTGGAGAGTCTTTCGTAGAGGATCTCGCTGTGGTTGCGCAACCACAGCTAGAGGAAGTAAAGGGAATAAGTCCCAAGATTACAAATACGGCGGAAATAAGTTCCCCGAAACCCGCGGGAATAAGTCCCCGGGAAGACGAAGGAATAAGTCCTTCGAAGCCTGAGGGAATAAGTCCCCAGGAAATGACAGAGATATTGAATGTCATAGTCAATAACGGATCATGTGTAGGCGCTTATACACTTGATCTGATTGCGCCTCCGAAGTTAACTTCGGAGATCACTCAGTTGCCAACGCTCGAACATAAAAGGTTCTTGCGTGATCTGCGTAGTGGCAAAGTCAAGCAGATCTGCATACTCGTCGCTGACGACGAGTGTGTAACCGACATAAGGTCAGCAACAGTGTTTACTGAGAACGAGAGAGTTCTCGGTAGTTCATCTATGGACGAGAGTGTCCTAGATGAAAAGACACGAATTGAGCGATATGAGTCCCAATCATGGGAATCGCTCAAGACAAATCCTATCTATGAAGATTTGGTTGAATTCAAGGATGTATTCCCTGAAACTGTTCCGTGCGAATTACCGAAGGATAAAGGTATTCGACACGAAGTCGAGCTTAAACCAGGCTCGAAGTACTGTGTCATGAAGCAGTGGCCACTGCCTCGTGAACAAGTACTTGCGATCGACAAGTTCTTTGCCGATCGTTTAGCAGCGGGCCATGTGAGGGAATCAACTTCCCCACATAGCTCTTCGACCTTCTGTGTGCTAAAAGCAACAGGAGGGTGGCGGATAGTGCACGCGTTCAACAAGTTGAGTGCTGCAACGGTACCGGCTCAAACGCCGATACCAAGGAAGGACGTAATCATTGATGGTATGTCAAAGAGTACCATCTTTTCGTCCATGGATTTGATGGATGGCTTCTATCAAATCCTGATGCGGGAACGGGATATATCCTATACCGCAGTGAGCACGCCTAGCGGCATGCTCTGGGAATGGCTAGTAATGCCACAAGGGCTCAGTAATGCCCCTGCCACGTTCAACAGATGTGTATCACATCTGTTGAGGCCAGTACGAGAATTCGCGCCGAGTTATTTCGATGACGTATTCATCCATAGTCGAGCTATGGATGGAAAGTCGGATGTTGAGGTTCACAGGTACCACGTCCGACAGGCTCTTACAATCATGCATAAGCATCAATTGTATGCAAACCTCAAGAAGTGTATATTTGCAGCAAGCGAAATACCACTTCTTGGGTGCATCGTTGGTAAGAACGGTGTACGTCCTGATCCCGAAAAGATCAAGGCGATCACCGACTGGCCTGTGCCGGTCGATGTCAAAGGTCTTCGAAAATTCCCTGGGCTAGCGGCGTATTTGCATAAGTATTCACGCAATTACGCCGAGATGACTGTGCACCTCTCTCGTTTGTTGAAGAAGAACTAGAGGTGGTTATGGGACGCTGAATGTCAGCGCTCCTTTGATGGTATCAAGCAGAGTTTGATACAATCCCCAGTCCTAGCAATAGCCGATCAGGACAGGCCATTTCATGTGGTCTGTGATGCCAGCGATTTCGCAATTGGCTGTGCATTAATGCAGTACGATCTTGAAGGCGTTGAACGCGTCGTCTGCTATCAGCCGCGTCAGCTACAACCAGCTGAGCGGAACTATCCAGTGCATGACAAGGAACCCCTTGCCATGAAGTATGCACTCGCGAAGTTCAGAGTCTATCTATTAGGAGATAGACCCTTCGTTGTTTACACTGACCATGCGTCATTTCGCACGGCAGTGAACAGCCCGCACCTTTCACAACGAATGGCGCGGTGGTTGTCATTCTTTGCAGAATACAACTTTACGGTCGAGTACAAACCAGGACGACTTAATGTCGTCGCTGATGCACTCTCACGTCGTCCCTACTTTGAACCAGTCGAGAAACCCAACAGTGAGACAGTCACTGTTGCGGTTATGACGTCCTCAGTCCCATCTACAACGTTTTATGATGATTTGAGGCGGGCACACGCCCAAGATGGTGAGATTGTGAAATTGTTGACACATCTCTCTCAACCATCTCGAGAATCGTTGAAACAGTTATCGTCTGCGTATCGATCTGCATCAGATCGATACACTACTCGTAACGGTTTACTGTATTATACAGCCGTTTCTGGTGTCACACCACGTGTTGTCATCCCTGATGATACTGATCTGCGTTTGCGGATCATGTTCGAAAATCACGATGCTCCTATAGGAGGACATCGTGGCCGCGAGAAAACGTATATCACGGTGAGTCGAGACTTTTACTGGCCCCGCCAGTATCAGTTTGTGCGAAAGTATGTTCACGCCTGCAAAGCCTGTCAACGAGTGAAGTCAAGTCCTTCAATGCGTGCACCTTTGCAGCCTTTACCGGTTCCGGCTAAGTGCTAAGAATCCCTACAATGAATTTCTTCTTCGGGTTACCCAAAGACGCACGCAAGAATACGGGTATTCTTGTATTTGTTGACAGATTCAGCAAAATGGTACACCTTGTGGCTGTACCAGAGACAATCACGGCAAGTGGCTGTGCTTGTGTCTTTATTGACACCATCTTCTGACTTCATGGGTTGCCCCGTGAACTCGTATCAGACAGAGATCCACGATTCACTGCTGATTTCTGGCTCTCCGTGTTCAAATCACTCGGAACGCGCTTGAAGATGTCTACATATGATCATCCAGAGTCAGATGGTCAGACGGAACGTGCCAATCATGTCTTCGAAGAGATACTTCGAGGATACGTACACTCCTTTAAGAGTTGGAGTGAGTTCTTGCCAATGGTAGAGTTTGCCATCAACAACTCGGTACATTCGTCCACGACACATACACCGTTTTACGTGAATGGCTTACGCCATCCGCGTGTACCCACCTTACTAGAGTCTAACTCTGGTTTAAGGGGGGGAGGGACTCGCGCGAGCAAAAACCGATTTGGTTCACGCTCATCACGCTCTGACGAAGAAGTCATTGCGTTTGATGCCGATATCGATAACATCGATATCGAAGAAGATGATGCCAGTGAGAGCGAGGAAGCCCTCACTGAAGAAAAGGTTGATGTTGCTGCAGTGCACTCACAGCGCACTGAAGCTAACGAGTCATCAGATAAGTTCATACTGGCTCGTGAAACGGTAGTCCGTTTTGTGCAAGACTCCATCGCCGAAGCGGTGGACAAGCAAAATCAAAACGCTGACAAGAATGGAAGGGCAAACACTCTTTTATTTAGTAAAGGTGACTTAGTCCTAATGTCTACGGTTAATCTACCAAAGCATGTAGTGACTAACTTGGGTGGTAGTTTACTACTACCCAAGTACATTGGCCCATTTCGTGCATTGCACCGCCTAGGCAATGCATACACGATCGAGTTGCCACGTAAGATGCGAACGCATCCCACGTTTTACGTTGGTCGGCTTAAGCCGTACCATCAGTACGCTGCTTCTTCCGATGAAGAACGCCCTTGCGCTCAAGCATCTCGCAGAGAGCCTTGTGCTCCCGATGATGGGCATCAACAAGGGTCTGAAGAGCAGTTATCTCAGCCCGAGACCGATCAACAATCCCACGAGCTACCCTTAGCTCGTCACGAAGAGATGTCAGAGCTCTCTCGTTCTCAAGCTGAGCAAAGGCAAACTCAGCTCGATGCTTCAAGGCAGTGTCCGCCATTTGGAGATGCCTATTCCGCTCATGTTCGAGATAGTCGCGTAACCCTTGCGTTATGCGATCAAAGAAAGCTCTCGGGAACACACGGATCCCCACGATATCGTGTGGAGAGCGTCTTTCCTCCTCCTCCACCTACATTAGAGGACTCTCGCGGTGGCCAGCGCTATCTAGTTGAGCAGCTGTTGAACCACCGCGACGTGAACGGACGTCGGACGAGTTATCTCGTCCGGTGGCGCGGCTATCCCCCGTCCTGGGATACTTGGGAGCCCCGCTCCCAATTGATGGTTGACGTACTGGGTCTGGTTGAGCAGTGCGACGCGGCACATCCTGTGCCGCAGAAGGACCGCCGGAGAAAGTCTTCCCGGCACGGTCGTAAAGGGATTTCAGGTTGTCAATCCCTTCGTACATCTCAGTAGAGATGCGTACGCGCCACCACGGGCTGGTAAGGAGGTAAGCCTCCTTCGGTACTCGTGAAGAGTTGTTCACACAACATGGGCACGAGTCTCCCCAAGAGAGGCAGGGTAATCCTTTCTCCCTTGACAGACGATGCAGCTTGTAGCGTGCACCTGTCGGGGTTCGCTTTTCAAACTTATCACGAGCTTTGATAAGTTTGTCGTTCCAAGCGTCACGACCTACATCCTCGAGGTTATGGATGTAGGCGTTCCACGCCTGAAGTAGTGAGGGACCATCACGTTTGTGATTCCCACTGTACCATCGATGTCTGAAGAAAGCATCGATGAAGAATTCGTGTTCAGCGCGATAGTCTTTCGCGCTGGGGTCAAGGTGATGGATCCTTGACGAATCGAACAATCGTGTTCGATAACGATCACTCGTCGTCGCCGACAAGTGATCCATGATGGATTTAGGAGGCATCCATGCCTTCTTTTCTGGAGCGAGACGCAACACATTGCGGTCCCGCTCTTCCTGCGACGTGCCGACAGAAGTACTGGCACCTCGTTGCGAAGTGGTGTCCATAGGAGAACCGACACCACTATTAGCGCCCGAGTCTCGCGACCTCGAACGCCTTCGCTTCGGCGATCTTTCGTCTGATTCGTCAGACGAACCAAAGATACTACGACGCATAGCATCATCCATGCCACGCTTGGCAGGCGGCTTGGATTCGATCGCCGTCGATACGGATCCGTCTTCCGTATCAGGAGAGTATGAGACTCCGAGCTCATACTTTGTGAAGACATGGGTGTCTTCATGACCAGCGCCTGCATAACCAGGTGACACAGGCTGATTCGCTTCAGCAACCGATGAGACATCAGTTGCTGCGGTTTCTGCTTCGGCGGCCTTGCTCGCGTATCGCATGAACTTGTTAACCATGCGATGAACTGTTGGAAGATGGACTTGGACCAACAAGTGCAAACCCTGTCCCAAATGATTTGAGACGAGTATCCATTTAGTCAATCAGTCACTAAAGTGACTGATGGTTAAGGGGGGGTGTAACGGGGTGAATCGTTACATAACAATTTATAAGAAATTGTTTACAGAATATAACTATAAGAGTTATATTCTCAGAATATTGTCATGAGGACAAACATTCTGCAGCACTTACAAGTAGTTCCTAATTGGTTGATATAGGCCATTACATCAACCAACGAAGACGCGCCACGACAGACGCACGCAATGAGTGGTGAGCAGATAGTGGTTATACACATTTGTATTTAGACATAGTTAGATGAGGATAAATAGTGATTTATTGCAGACATTAACTATACTAAATACAGTTCTACTTTTTACTCTAACCAAGTACTCGCTTCTTCTTACCGTCTTCCTCTGCACGTACGAGTGTAAGTAAAGTTCCGAGGCACCGTCTTATTCAGTCATCAGAATAAGTAGCTTGTACTGTTACCAGTACAAGATTAAGGGGTGCCCCGTTTCAACACGCATGTCTCGCTCGCGCATCGCACGTCGCGTCGAGTAGCAAAGCGCATTTGTAACGGGGAACCTTAAACTTGTACTGATGAATTTTATGACAGATTAAAGGGGACTTAAGAATTTTCCTCTAATCTCACGAGGAAGAGAGAGAGAGGAGACTGGGAGAGGGGGGTTTATGTTAATGTCTGCATTAAATCACTATTTATCTTCATCTAACCATGTCTGAATACAAATGTGCATATCAACTATCTGTTCACCACTCATTGCGTGCGTCTGTCGTGGCGCGTCTTCGTTAGTTGATATAATGGCCTACATTAACCAATTAGGAACTACTCGTAAGTGCTACAGAATATTTGTCCTTATGACAATATTCTGAGAATATAACTCTCACAGTTGTATTCTATAAGCAATTTCTTATAAATTGTTATGTAACGATTCACCCCGTTACAGTGGAAGGAATCTTCTGATTTGCGCTTTAAGCTCGCAAAACAATCTCTGCGCCGGACTACCGACTTACGGGGGGTTTTCCCGATTCTGCGTACGAAGATGACTCACCTTGTGTACCGTTCGGCTTGATGGTCGCACAATTCGGGCGACTCGGATGTGGAGGAAGATGTTTCGATCTTGGCAGAAGTAGACCTGGGCCTCAAGTGATTATTTGCTCCACTGGTTGGGCCGGTAGGTGGCCACTCGATCGACTTGTCGGGATTGTAATTACAACCAAGTTCTTCAAGTAGCTTGTCTTTTCCTGGGCTTTCCTTGTTGTTGTTTCAGGGGTGTTAAAATCCTGGCCTTTACTTGGCTCCCTTGGCTCCCTAGCCGCGTGAGAGAGACCACTTCCGACAGCGGATCTTGAGTGTCAATAAGACTATTGTCCAGCATGATAATTCCCTACCAATTTTATCCGAGATGGATTATATTGAAGGAATATGTTTCCCTTCCAGGATTGTATTCATGCGCTGCTCAACGATTGGTTGATATATGACATATCACCCATAGATTACCACCAATTGCTGCTAGACGTGCGCAATGAGTGGTGAGCAGGTTGTCGTCATATGACGACGTAGTTTAACATATTTAGATAAAGACTGAAGTTATATTGATTGCTTCACTATATTAAATACAGTTCTCTTTTACCCTTTACTCAGCTTAGTCGTTAAGTAGATTACATTTCTCTGCACGTACTAGTGAACGTGAAGTTTCGTGGCGCCCAAGCAAAGGGTGCCCCGTTACACCTGGTAGCACGTTGTAGTCCTTCCAACGACTACTTAGTGCCCATCCAACATGAACATGTTGGACGTAGAAGCCGACAGCTTTCACGTCACACGTGAAGGTTACTCCCATCTGAGTGACTTGAAATGGGAGGTAGTCGGCCGTATGAGTGTGCTCATGGGCGAACCCGCCATCGATGGCATGATGGAGTCTATCAGCAAAGACCAGCAACATGCTACTAAAAATAAGTTCCTACAATGGGAACTCACCGTCGAAATACAGAAGAGAGCCTTGCTACAACAGCAAGGCTCTCATCAATCGTTGGGCAGGCCGACGCACATGCGTCGACCCTAAACCTTAAAGATAGATATCCCAAGGTACAAGGAAACCGATGAAGGTTCCCTTTTGAGATGGTTCGTCGAGTTGGACGACGCCATCAGGGCCCGTCACATCGAGGGTGACGCGATGTAAGTCACCTTCGCCCTGTCAAATTTGACAGAACGAGCAAAGACTTGGGCCTTAGGGCTGAAGCTTCACAACCCAAACGTGTTTAAGTCGTAGGAGATCTTAGCGTCTCGGCTAAAAAAGACGCTTGAACAGCCGAGAGCCGAGTACAGAGCACGCTCTGCACTCCTGAGGCTCAAGCAAGGTTAGCGTGATGTGCATGCTTACGCACAACATCTACGCTACCTTGCGAGTAGAGTCGTAAGAAACCCTGTTGATGAGCACAAGCTCACCTACATGTTCTGAGAAGACTTCCAAACGCTGGAAAAGGCGATAGCGTAGGTGGAACAAAAAGACTTCAGCCTAAGACAGTCTCAGGCTTACTCGTCCAACTATCGTCCGACGAGACTACAGGAAACAGGAGGTCCCGGACCGATGGATCTCTGTTACATCTAGAGCGAGAAATCTCGCTCTCTGAGTCACAAGCGAACGGTGAGATCTCATCGCTGTGTGAAGCTAGGACACTACGATCATGAGTGTAGTGTCCCAAGCACCGCAACACGTCCAAAGACAGTACGTGATGACCATGAAAAGGTCCGAGGCGTGGGTCAGATCATGTCGCTAAGCCGCGACAGCAAGTCGGGCCGCCAAAAATGGACAGGGTCGGTAGGGGCGGAGCACCCTGATGATCTAGCAACGTCAAGAGATTTGCAGGACTCTTGACGAAGATTACTCCCAACATACTGTCTCTGTGTGTCACTGTTCTTAGTGATGAGTAGTCCCTCATCACTTTAAAGATCGAAGTGACAAGTGGAATGTCACTTCGCGCCCTAGTTGACTGTGTGGCGTCAAACAGTTTTATTCGACGCCAGTCGCTGGAGGATAGTAGACTCAACTATGTTGAGCGAGTGTTCCCTCCAACGAGGATGATGGTGTGCCTTGCTACAGGCGCATCCGTAACACTGAACAAACGTGTAGTGGGAATTTACTACACGCTAGAAGAAAAGCAGTACGATGATGAATTTATCGTACTGGATTTGGACGACAAATTTGATGTCATCCTTGGTCTGCCATGGCTTAGAAAGTACCAGCCATGGGTTAGCTGGCAGCATTGATCCGTGAAGACGCCTGCCGCTTGTTCATCGGATTGCCATCTGATGAACGTCTTGGAGCGTCCACAAGCGTGTGGATGTACTACGAGTGAGTGCGATGGCCTCACTTGTGGTACGGTCGTTAGTACGACTGCACAAGATAACAGTGTAGAAGGCCACTACACTGTGGAACCAGTTTCCGGCACCTGTGTAGAGACACAGGTTGTGCCGAAGGTTCACCACTTGAAGAGATCGAGTGGACTGAAACATGGATGCATACCAAGATGTGTGCATCCAAGAAGAGAGATTAGCGTTGTTCAGGGTGAACAACACGTTACAGCAAGATCGACTAACATAGAGTCGATCGTACAG